CACCATCACCTTAGTGGTTAGATTTTCAACATGAATTTGGAGGAGACACAAACATTCAGACCATAGCAAAAATATTTGGGGTAATGGGAACAGGTTAGAGCTCTGAAATTAAAGACCAGAGGTAAGGTGACCCCAATCAAGTCCCAAGAACCTTAAGGTCAGGAAAAGAGAAATTCCTACTGTGCTCCAATTCCTTATATGGGCCAGTCATGGGCTATACATGAGGAGAGCTGAGAAAGATGGTACCCGCACACAGCTTTCTTCTTGGTGGTCGTACAGCCTGAAAACCTTACTGTTTTATCTGTCTGGCACAAATACATCCAGAATATGTGTCATGTCAGCTCAAGTAGAAAAAAGCAGTAATAATGAACTTTTCCATGTTGGACTTACTTCTTGTAAAATGTTGAAACCCCATGTATCCAGGAACAAAGGAAGTTGTGAGAGTTGTAAACTGTCTTGTCCCCAAAAATGGTGCCTCCAAGCTAGCCAGGATTTCCAGGAAAGTGGGCACAAGGACCCTCACCTCTTGTTCACAGAGAGGCCATGGGTTGGTTGCTCTCGGCCTCTTGTGACTCTTCCCTCTTCTCACTTCCTTACCTCTTTCTGATCTCCCTCCTCTCTTGCCTCGTTGGTGTTGACCAAATGCTGTGATTTACACACGCTACTCTCAGCCCATGACTGTTCTGCCCACAGTGACTGGTGGCAGCTAAGCCCTTTCTGTTTTGAGGGGTTGTGTTGTTTCTACCTGGCCCATAGGACCCACTCCTGGAGTCAACATCTGAAGGGGTTCTCGACCATATGCTGACTACCACAGGTGGCGCATGTTCTAAAGCATAAAATTTAAAGTTCAGAAAGTGAAGACTGTGGTTTGAGAAATGACCTAGATAAGAAAAACTAAGTGCAGATCCCTTAGCCACTACAAGCTGGTTGACGCTGAGTACATCACTTCATCTCTCCTTCCTCCATCCTGAAGAAGGGGTTGGAAAGGTCCCCAACTGTGAGTAAGGGCTGGTTACATCATAATCACTTGCGGCATTGTTAAAGATTCATCTCCCCACACTTTGCCACAGTTCTGTATCAAACTCCCAGATGAGAGTGTATGTATGTTTTCATGGCACCTGGGCACCTGGGTTTGGGAACTCCTGCAGGAGATGATCCCCTGGGATGCTTAGTGGTCACTGAGCCTGCTGCCATATCAGTCAGGCTTGGGTGGGACTGGACCTGGTGGCGGGGAGGGACTGCCAGACCTCTCTCAGGGAGTGTGTTTGGGGGACCCCAGGGAATCTGAGGAGGAAGAGAAAGTTACCACCTTTCACACATGTTGCAGGTTCTCTGCTGTCTTTCTTCAGGTCCTACCACAGGAACGCAGCAGGTACCAGGGCTCTACTGGTCTAAACCATAGTTTTCTGCTGACCCTGAGGTTCTAATAATAGAAAAGAGATCCAAATCCCGCTCCCAGGCTTTTATGGGAGTGTAGAAAAGCAGAATTCCCAGGGAGAGGTTATGATCAACAACGAAGTGGTAATCTCTTCCCTGAGGGCGAGGAAGGTTTTTCCCTGTCCCTGCCTCAAGCTGCAGTGGTGCAGTCTGTTACCTTGGAGACCAGCTAACACTTCCCGGCAGGGCAAGTGTCACTGTTGAGTTGCCTAGAGGAGCTTGCAGGAACTAGAAGTGGGAACCAGGAAA